CTCTATATGTTTTGTTTTTTCTCGCTTCTTCAATCAAAAGTAACTATTTTTTTCGTTTTCTCGCCAGTTCGAGCCGTCTCGGATTTCATGTATCACGGCACGTCGAGCACTTCCTCGGACATCTCACCAATGTCAGAGCAAAAGTCGCTGCCGCGAAGAGGTCGCTCGAGGTAAGTGTTATATTTACGATCAAACGAGCATGAATCAACAGCTATATATGGCGCATGTATACTTTTTTTTTCATCCATTAAACATTATTCAGTCGTGGAAATATATGATGGATGCAATGTCATATATTGTTTCGCTGGAAAATGTTTGTTTTTCTTTTTACGTAGAATCCAATTTGGCTCTGTAGTAACATCGTGTAACGTCGTATTTGTTATTTAAACATATTTTATTTATTTTTTCATTTTTTTTTTTTTTTTTTTACCAAACATACGATCGATGGATTTTGCCGTCTGCGCTTGCGTTCGAATGAGACGCTCGAACGACAAAAAATTAGGGGTCTGAACCACTTTACACTCGAAATGACAAAAAAAAAAAAAAAAAAAAAAGAATTCATTTCTTGCAATGTTTATTCATCCACTTTCACACATATACTTGTACATAATTTATACATTTACAATTAAAACATGACATGTAAATAAAAAAAAAAAAAACAAAAAAAAAACCCAATAAAAGTCTCATACATGTATAAAACGCATAATAAGTATGTATTGTGTACACATGCACACGTCCGTGTGTCTGCTGATGATGTTTAAGGTGGTTCGGACCCGTAGACCTAATAGATCCGCTTCGCGAGCGCTTTGACTAATATTGGTCCGGTGACTACCGGTTAATTTCGGCCCCCGAGAAGATGGCACGTGCCGAGCAGGATACTGCCGCCAATCTCGGTAGCGGAGACGGCCTTCGGCGCCGGCCAGTCGTCCCAGCAGCAGCGAGAACTCGGCCACCACCACCACCAACAGCAGGAGGGAACCAACACCGCCACGTCCAGCGAACTCAACGACGTCGACTCCCTGAAGAAGCTCAAGCTCGGCCTGAGGAGCTCCCTATGGTCGAGGCCGGCCGGCCAACAGGCCAACCCCAACCCATCCTCCGACTACTCCATCGCCGTCTAGCTTCGTCCCCCCTCCCGCCGGCCCCTCCCCCGCCCGCGACCACGGCCCCCGGCCCCACCTCCCTTTCCCGAGGAATAGAACTAACCGGCCCAAGGCCCAACGACAGTGCACCGGTAGCCGACCCGACGTCATCGGCTCGCCATCCGCGCGTCATCGACTAATACCGTGGCGCATCCTCCTTACCGACCTTCTTCCTCCTCATCGAGTATATACCTGATTATGTGTTTCTTTCTAATTCGATGCGGCTGTTTAGATTCGGGGACGCGCCACCAAAATGCACTGCCAATTTAAAAATAATACCGATACTCTTTTAGGAGAGGGAGGGGGGACACGATGTCACGTTATTACGGGGCCGTAGGATAACGGCAGCTCTCGAGCTTGCAAGCGCCAGTGTTGTACAACTTATGCAGTTTTTTTGTACGTGAGTATAACATTAAAAGTGGCACTATACCTACGGGTACATATTATTTTATGTTGTACGTACTGATGCTGCAAGCTTTTTGTTACCGAAAGAGCTTTTGTAAATATAGGTGTATGTAAAAGGGGGACGGGATATTTACGTATACATATTATTATGTGAACTGATTGTTTCATTGGTCGATGACGATTTTACGTGTGGTCGATAATAAATAATAACAATAATAACAATAATGCGTGTGTGTGTGTATAACTACGGGACGATTCGGTGACGATAATTTTGTGGTTGTTGTTATTATTATTATTATTATTATTATTATTATGATTACATAAAAAAATGAAAATACCTGCGGGAGGAGAGAATTGCGCATAAAAATATAATATAGACGATAAAGAGGACGATGATGTTTACTTACCATATATGTACGTGAGTTCAAACAACTGGTGCAGAGACATTATTAGACATAGGTGTACATTTAATCCCTTTTTTGTATGCGGTCTTTGCTGATGTAATGTCAGAGAAGCAACGGATGTACCTACTTTTTAATTTTCCACTCTCATCTTTCACCCACCCCCCTCTAGCCACTCAACTTGTGCTATATATATATATATATGTATGGGCATTCGGCGAAATCGAGCCGTATATTAATATATTGTTTAAGTAGCGTCTGACGCGCAGGGCCATATTCGGGACGAAACAAGTAAAATTATGAATAACAAATAGTAAGTATAGTTGAACGAAAAATGGACTAATAAACGAATTATTCGTATAAAAAAAAAATATATATAAAACATATATATATATTATACATATTCTCGAGGCGAACCAAGTGTCTATGAATGAAAAAAGACAATTATATTATGTATATGAACGTGTACGCGTCGAAAGAGATAAATAGGGTATGTGTGTATATTATGGAACGCGAGAACGTATACGTGTGTCAAAGTTAATACGAGATTACAGACAAAAACAAAACAAACAAAAATCAAACGTTCATTGGTTTATTTCTATTGTCACGTATTATATATACATGAATATCCATATACATATGTGGCACGCGCTACGAAATATTTGCTCTCTCTCTCTCTCTCTCTCTATCTACCTCTTTCTCTCTACTATTTCATATATATACATATTAAACATATTTGCGCGGTAAATTGGGTTAAAAGGAAACGGGAGGGGGAGGGATTTAAATATTGCGAATTTCCATTTTCGCGTGAATTTGGAACCCCCCCCTCCCCCCTGGTAAATCTAGAGGACGCTGCAACACTCTGGGTGAAACGAGATTGGCGTCTGGCTGAAAAAAAGGTAGACAAGTAAAAACGAGAGGAAAAAAAAAATACACAACAAGTTGGTTGGCAGCAGCGCCGAGACGGTGGCTTTAAGTAGAAGTGGCTGCGTTTGGTAAGGCGGCTGCATTGTGCGCGCGCGCGCCTCCGTCCGACCTTATACCAACCCAATCTACTTAGTTGGCGTTGTTTTGAAATTTCCCGAGGGACGATCTTACACGTCTCCCGAGCGAGAGGGACATAGAGCGTATTTTTCTGGAAAATCTCGGAGATTGCGTTGTTATACACCCCGGGAGGTTTCCCATTTAAATATATACATTTACGTGCAACGTGTGTATAAATTCCGTGCACCGAAAAAAAAAAAAAGAAAAGAAGAAAATAAAAAAAAAAAAAAAAAAACTATACGCGCTTGAGCAGGTCTGCCGTACATCCGGCTGATCCCGAAAGTGACGGCGGTGGCGGGCGAGACCCTGCACCTAAAGTGCCCGGTGGCCGGCTACCCGATCGAGGAGATACGCTGGGAGAGAGCCGGCCGCGAGCTACCCGAGGACCTGCGCCAAAAGGTCCTGTCCGACGGCACCCTCATCGTCACGAGCGTGTCGAAGATTGCCGACAGCGGGGTGTACACGTGCTGGGCGAAAAACAAACAGGGCCACAGCGCCAGGCGCAGCGGTGACGTCGCCGTCATCGGTAAGCCCACCATATTCTCTTGCATATACATACAATAGGTACTATTACAATATGACTCATGCATTTTTTTTTTATTTTTACATAAATTATATCGCAAATGCCGTGCATTCGCGCGTTTTTTGGGTGGGTGGGAGTATTGGCGTAAGGATTTAGGTGGTCCTCGTAACGTGTACCCGGCGGCGGCAGAGAGAGAGTATATATTTATATACAGAAGGTGGCAACAGGAGACAACTGCTTCGACCAAGATGAGCCAGTGGCGATTAGTTTGGTTAAGACTCATCCTCGTGCACATCTCCAACGTTGTTTTTTTTTTCTTTCTTTTTTGATCGGACGTTGCAGTTCCTCCTAAAATAAGTCCCTTCACGGCCGATCAGGAGCTCCACCTGGCCGAGCGCACGACGCTCACGTGCTCGGTGACGCGGGGCGACCTGCCCCTGACGATATTCTGGCTGAAGGACGGGCGCACCCTGAGCTCGTCCGATCGCGTGACCATCACCAACGTCGACCAGTACAACAGCATACTCATGATCGAGAGCTTGTCCCCGGATCATAACGCCAACTACTCGTGCTCGGCGGCCAACTTGGCGGGCCAGGTCTCCCACACGCAAAGGATCGTGGTCCATGGTAATTCAGCAACACCGACAACAACACCGCTAGGCCCGCCACAAGTGTCTGCCCAACGAACTCGCCACCCGTGACTTTTCTTTTTTTCATCCCCTCCCCCCTCCCTTCTCTCTCCCACTCTCTTTTCCGCATTCATAACCCTCTTTTGGTTACAAATGCGTGGGTGTACATATATAGTTACGCGAGAGAACAAATGACGCGTGCTCTGCATCTTGGGACCGAACGCGGGGGGTAAAAAAAAAAAAAAAAAAAAAAAAAAAAAAAAAACACGCATGCGAGGGAGAGGCGGAAAAACCGTATGGCTACTCGTATAACTTACACAGGTGAGTTTAAAACTAGAATATTGTACAAAAAATAAAAGAGCATTACTAGGTTTAACTCCAACAGTTCCCTTGATTATTCCCGTGGTTCTTTTTTATGATGTTCCTATAGGTGCTCAGGAGCACCCCAATTGATTTTTATTAGTTTACTTCTTCGTACTTGTATAAACGTGGAAAAAAAAAAAAACTACCGGATACAATTTCTATTACTGTTGGACCTAATACAAGAGCTATATTTTCCAAATGTATCACCCTATTTGTGTTATAAATGCGAGTATACATAAATAAGGTACCCAAGAAAAAAAAAAAAAAAAAAAAAAAAACATGCATGCGAACGAGAACTGGAAGACTAAACGTATGGGAAGCCGAAGCACAGGTTCAGGTAAGATGCGACTGATGTAATGGTATTTTAGAGAATGTGGCAATTATTTTTTACGTTACTTATGAAACACCATGTACATGCATACGTTAATATTAGAAAAGGTGAAAGCGTGTGATATGCCCGTTTGGTTTTGACAGATGTACTTGTGAGCAAAGCGTGTGTCCTTGATGATGATGTTGATGCTGAGCCCCTTGTACATATTGCATAACCCTGAGGGTCGGCGAGTCTCGTTCGTGGCAGGGTCAACATATGTTATTATAATAATATCTCTCTCTCTCTCTCTTTGTCTCTCTTTGTCTTTCTGTATTATACATCTTATTCTCATTATATATTATTATATTACTACGTACCTATATTATCTACGTTTATATTTTATATATTATCATACGTTATACTTTATATCTCTGCCTCTATTGTACATATTATATATATATACATCAGTATATAGAAAAAGTCGTTGAACGAGCGTGAATGTGTCCGGTATTTAGTTTTTTCCTCTTTTTCAATTCCATTTTTAATAATACTCTAGATCAATAGCGCAAAAGCCCGAGCTCATCCAATTTGACTTTTCAAAGACTTATTGCCTTTGAATTCACGCGTCGATTTTTTTTTCACCCCGAATATGTGCATACTATACAATTAAATAGAATTTTCAAGGTGAACGCACTGCAATTTTTAGTTTTTACTTACGAATTGTCAATAAAAAAAAATTGTTTGTGGTTGGGATGGATTTTATGGTGGTGTGTTTCATGATTCAAACAGTTTCATTTAAGGGAAACTATTAAATTATACAAGTCTATGTACTAATATGGTTAAAGAAGTAAAAAAAAAAAGGAAAAAAAAAAAAAAAAAACAACGCAACAACAACCGAGAGGTGAGCTTTTTCCAGGTGGTACGCGCAAACGGGCGCCGAGCCGATGTTAGTGCTGCCAGGACCGAGGACGAGGCTTTTGGGCCCCGTACTGGCCATCGAAGCCGTCACGCTCGAGGACAGCNTATGTGTATGTATATACATACTACTGATTTATATACATATATACATATTATTATTATATCTCTCTGCGAGAGCTGGTACGATATAGATATAAGCGACTCTCTCTTTCTCTCTACAGCATATGTATCATATTTATATGAATTATATTAAATATATTGTATTGTATAATGATGTCATATAATTAGCAGCGCGCGGTTGTAAATTTATATTTTGATTCGTTGGTGCCACAAATCTGTTTCGTTTTCTCGCTCTCACGTGTGGTTCTCTCTTCTCTCTTGGCCTTTTTTCCAGTACCCCCTATAATTGAGCCATTTACCTTCCAAGAGGGACTATCCGAGGGGATGCGGACGAGAACGGTGTGCGGGGTCACGGAGGGCGATCTGCCTCTAACGATATCCTGGCTGAAAGACGGCCAAAGTCCCTCCCTCCTGCCCCCAAAGCTCGCCTCCGTCGTCAATATATCCCAGCTAGATCCCTACTCGAGCCTCCTTAGCATATCAAATCTAAGCGCTGACCACTCCGGCGAGTACACGTGCCGGGTTACGAGCAACCTCGCCGCCGAGGTCAGGTACACGGCCAAGCTCCAGGTCAAAGGTAACTACCTCCTACTCTCTCACACACCCTCATTCACTCAGTCGCTCTCAGGTCTATTATCTACATCAGATGATACAATAACTCTCTTAACCATCACCCATTTTTTTTATTTGTTGTTTTTGTTTAATAGGTACCACCATCATTGTCCTGCCTCTTATCTGAATTTCTTCGATAATTTCATTAGACGTCATTATTACGATGTTCCTCAATCGAATCAATTCACTGAGCAGACAATGATTTTATGGTTTTTTTATTTTTATTTTTATTTTTCTCTTTTTTCGACAGCACATTCGGTCGTTTATTTGCCCTCGCCTTATTGCGAGGTTTCGTAAACCATACAGTTCGATGTCTTTTTTTTTTATTTTATTTACTTCAAAGCCCCATGGGTTTTCCACTCATTTTTGGTTCCTCGACTTTTTTTCTCTAATTGTCTATCGACTCCCGAAGTCCCGTTGCACGTCACGAGAGTTACGTACGTGAGCAAAAGAAAAATAACACTTTCTTCTGGAAAAATGAAATTGAACAGCGGGTCGTAAAAAAAAAAAAAAAAAAAATTGATTACCCTCTCAAAGAATCCTCCACCTCCCAAAAAAACCTCCAATCTTCGACATCCGAACCTATAGTAAATTTGAAAAGCCTTCCTCGCCCAAAATTCCTTCTTATTGGAAGCATTGTTATATTATATATTTTCACTTACCACCACCACCACCACACACAATGTGTATTACACGTTATTTACGTTGCTTTGGCTCTCTATCTACTTATCTGGGAATGCGTCGGTATCTCGTGGATCCCCCGAAGGTTTGCTTGACTTGACCAAACATACAATAAGGTAACAGAGTTGCACCTTCCTCTTTCATTCTATCTCTCTTTCTCTCTCTCTCTCTCTCTCTCTCTCTCTCTCTCTTTCCTCCATCTCTCTGTAATATGCGTTTCGAACCACTCTTTTTTTTTCATTTGCATGTACTCGCCTATATACCCTGACATTTTAGCTTTTTTTCTCTCGCGCTACAGGTACATCCATCTTTATTTTTTACCAGCTCATCCTACCTCTCTCTTCTCCCCTATCTTTGATCTTGTAAAGAAAGTCGGCACTAAATACGAATTACAACAAAAAGCGCTATTAGGCATGCTTCAATTTTTTTTTCTTTTTTTCCATTTTTATTTTCGACATTTTTTATCTTTGGTGTTAAAGTGGTCTACAGTTACACACGGCGTAGCTGTGTCGTGTGCGACTCTCTATATGTACGCTCACCGAACCTTGGCTGAAGCTGGTACTGCTGGACACGCTGTAACGACGATTTTATCTCATTAATGTGTATTTACGTATTTCATTTTGGCATGTTT